GTGCACTCACAAACCCGACTGGAATTCAGAATACTTGCCCAGAAATTAAAAAACAATGTTTAGTTATTTTTAAGAGAGAAGAAGGGGAATAATTTGTCTATGTATTTAGCTGAAATGGGACTGGGTTTATATAGGCAGTGAGGAGGAAGATGGCCAGCAACGGTCAGCAAGAAAGAAGGAGAAACGGCCATATAATTAAGGCCAATGATCAGAGAAGAACTTAGCCCATAAACTGTCCAGATTAACTTGCAATTAAGAGCACTAATAAGGGATATTTTGACAAATAAAAAGAAATAAAATTTCTCCAAAAAACTAAGGACCCACGCCCGCGCATCGCATTCCCACAACCCGGCTCGGCATGCGCGTGTGTGTGGTACAACACCCACCTCCAAGTCACTCAACTAAGTAGTGTTAGCATACTAAAATATATAAAGAAGGGAAAAACCTCTCCCTCCATCAATGTGGGATTTTTTCCCTTACATCTCTCTCTCTTGATTTCTCCCCACACTCTTGCTTTTTAATATTAAGAACTTCCAACAGATAGTGATTGGATCAACATGGAAACCTTTTAATCATGTCATCTTTGTAGCATCTGGTGTATGTAACTATGTTTCTCGCGGTTGTTATTATACTATGTTAATTGATTAATCCTTACCAGAGGAACGAATGCATGGTTTTATCTAGTTAAAGCATGTATCCTTTCCTGCTACTACTTCTTCGAGGACAGCATAAGAAAGCTATGTAGAGCAAGGGTGTGTTTAATGAGACTCTTGATGTGAAGGTTTCATCATTACTTGTGAATGTGATAATGTATGGTACCTCGCTTGTTATATTCGATGACTATGTATAATTTATATGACTATGGATGCCTGTTCTTCTTGTTTATCTCTTCCATTTTATATGTCCTTTAATTAGGGAGTGAGCAAATGTAAATTAAGATATGTGCTTAAGGCTCTGTTTGGCATGTCCTTTAAACAAAATATTTTGAAATGCTTAAAAACAAAGTATCACTTACGTTGTTAAATTATTATAAGACGTTAAATCAAAGTTCAGGTCCAGAATATTTTAGCGTGGTTAGCGGGGCGGAGGGAAGACTTGCAAGTCAAGTCTTATCTCCAAGATTTCACAATCGTAAATAATAACCATACATGTGGATCGTGTCTTAAGGACCTGTTCTCTTTAGCTTAATTTCAGTTCAGTTCTTAATTTCCTTCTTTTATAAACAGTTCGGTTCAATTCTATTCAGTAAATCAAAACAGGCCCTTAGAAGTCATTTTCCCAAGTCTTCAATTTGTACCACTTTGGAAGTCGTTCAAAATCTAATGAACCGATTCTAGCTATATACTACGGAGTATATACTAAGAATCATTATATACTATCCTGTCAAAAAAAAAAATCATTATATACTATCCTGTCAAAAAAAAAAAAAAAAGAATCATTATATACTATCCTGTCAAAAAAAAAAAGAATAATTATATACTATGTATTACACTTATTAATCTCCTTAATTTAATGAATCAATTCCAGCTAGAGGTGGGCAACGTGTCGTGCTGGGCCACCGCGGGCCGTGCCTGGTGGTGGCTCGTGTCGTGTCGTGCCGTGCCTGCATCTTGGCTTGTCGTGTCGTGTCGGGCCACCATTTAGCACACCTCAGCCCACGGCACAATCCACGTGCTTGGCGTGCCGTGCCATGCTGGGCACTTGGCCGCCCATAATTTTTTTTTTTTTTTTTTTGAACAACTTTTAAAATGGATATACTATTTAAATAATTTTATTAATCTATGTTTATGTTTTTTATATTATTATATTATTATTTTTCTTTTCATTATTCTTATTCTTATTATAGTTCTTTATCATTATTTATGTTATTTTATGCCTGTGCCTGGCTTGTCGTGTTGGCAGGCCAAACTACCGTGTTGCCCGCGAGTTCATGCCGTGCTTGTGCCGGATTCTTGAAATTGTGTTCACGGCACGGCCCACGACCCACTCTTCGGTCACTGAGTCGTGTCGTGCCGCTGGCGGACTCGTGCCGGGCCAGGCCAATCTCGTGCTGGGCTCGTGCCGCACGCGGGCCGGCACGGCCATGCCCACCTCTAATTCCAGCTATATACTTTATAAGGAGACATAATTCCTCAAATACTTGTGTTTTAATTAAAATCGAAAGGAAAAATAAATAAATACGCTAATAATAATACATAAATCGAACACAAAATAATCAGATGAGTGTTAGAGACTTTAAACACGTTTAATCAAACAACAAATCAACACGACAAGACACATCTAATACACATATTTTAGAATAACATACAAATTCTACAACAACTCGATCTCCTATACATCTAATACACATATTTTTTGTTATGTGGTCAAGTATGCCAAGTATCTAATTGTCCTCATCTGCCAACGATCATATTTTTTTTTTTTTTTTTTTAGTTTTCTATGGTGGGGAAACACAATTCGATTGATGTATTGATCTCTTGGTATGTATGACAGATTGACAGTACACTATCACGGTTGACTGAAAAATCAAAGTCTTCGGCTAGTTTAATGGAACCATGTACGGTATAAAAATGACATTTATGAAATTCGGAATTTTATATGAATATAGTTTAGGGTAACTAATGCTCTCTTACTAAAAAAAATAAAAGCATACTGCTTACAAAACCTATAACCTTTTTTTTATTATTATTATAAAGTTAGCAAAAAAAAAAAAAAAAAAAAACCTATAACTTTGTGTTTACTATAAAGTTAGCAATAAACAAAAGGTAAAACAAGCAATTGTTGTGATGATTGGAAAAGGTGTTGCGTGTGGACTCAATTCCTGGTTGAAGTGCATTTTAATGCCTCTGTATTGCATTCTTTTGAGGAACTTCGAGAGCTTAATCTCACCGGCATCAACATTAAAAGTTGGGATGAGGATAAAGAGACTTCAACAATTTGGAGGGTTTACAACTTCATGGTAAGCTTGAAACTGCTTTGTATGTCTATCAATTTCTAAAACTCTGTAAAATTGGAGCCATTACATACATTTTCATTTATTTACATACTGAGATGAAGCAGATGTTGAGGCCATTAGTCAAAATTTGGAAGAGTTGAGTTTGAGAAATAGTGAAATTACCGGCTTCCGAAATTATAACGGTAAGTTATTCCTAAATTGCTAATGATAGTAAGGCAATTTACATTAGCTATTGTCATGTAAACCGTATAGCATCGAAACCTTTTTTGACACCAAAATGCCGCAAAAGTAGTAATTTCCTGCTTGGCATAGTTGACCAAAGAACAAAACATTTATGCATATTGATGTAATTATTTTACATACACTCATAATGATGTAATAATGTGCAGGTTCAACAAACTTGTTACCAAGCCTTAAGGTACTAGATCTGTCAGATATTATGTTTAATAATAACATATTTAGCCATCTATCTGAGTTCCAATCTCTCCACACTCTGAATTTCGAAGGCAATCAATTGAGAGGAAATGTTCCAATAAACAGTAAGCATGCAACTAGTTTATTACTTGTATTCTTAAGAAAGAATTAACAATTGATTAAAGATTTGCATGGTGACAGCTTTGCAAATCTAACATTAAAGATAGATAAGTTGATTAGAATTTTAATTTATTTCTTTATAACTAAGATTAGTCTTACGTTCAAACTCTATACAAAACATTTTCATTATCCTTGAATGAGAGGTGTCATACTAATATACTATCTTGTAGAGTTGTAGCACGTATTTTATTAACATACATAAAACAAGTGTTTTGTTCATAGACATTATTGAATATGAGTAATATACCCTTTTTTTTTTTTTTTACAAATAATCAAAGTATTACACTTAATTACTTATTACTCCTTATTGGTATAAAGAGATTGTATATTTGTATTGACTTTCATGATGAAAATTTATATATCTTGTCAGCTTCATTTTATGGTGGCCTAACCTAACTTCAAGAGTTGGATCTCAGTGATAATCAACTTGCTGGGGAAGTTCCCGTATGGTTGCGAAACTTGACAAGTTTGGAAACGTTGGATCTCAGTTATAATCAGTTGATAGGAAATATTGGGTCATCTCCTCTGGTTCATCTCCTGTCTCTCAGATATCTCATACTATCATACAATCATTTGCTAATTCCTGATTCATTCCAATCGTTTGCAAACCATACATCCTGAGAGCACTTTATTGGAGACTCCAACCAAGTTGTCCATGAGTTATCCAAACATGATGCCCAACCTCCTTTCCCTCTAGGATTACATCTTCAAGCACTTAGTTTGTCAGACTGTGCACTCTTTAAATACCCCCCCTTCCTTCCCCATCAACGAGACTTGATCTTCGTCGATCTTTCTGACAATTCACTTCAGGTGGAATTCCCAACATGGCTTCTGGAGAACAACCTTAAGTTGGATTCACTTCTCCTTAGCAATAATTCCATTGAATCACTCCAATTACCTTCTGTTGTGCATGCCTATATAAGGCGAGTATGGGTTGCCAAAAATAAGATACAAGGACATATTCCGGCTAACATAAGCGTGGTAGTTCCCAATCTTGTTGAATTGGACTTGTCCTACAACAGATTCAAGGGAAACATTCCCTTAAGCTTTGGTGATTTGCATTCTCTAAAAGGTTTATATTTGTCAAACAACCATTTATCAGGAGAGATACATCACCTAACAAATAGCTTAGAATCTCTTGATCTATCAAATAATGCTTTTGAAGGTGAACTTCCGATTTTCAGTGGCTTATTGTCCTTGCTAATCTTAAATTTACAAGCTAACAGTTATTCAAGTGGCCTCCAAATGAACAAGTTTGGTCCAAGCATAGGGCTTCTTAATCTAAGTAATAATTCACTAGAAGGTCCTATTCCTAAAGACATATACAATTTTCTCCCAAATTTATGGGTCTTGAACCTATCATTTAACATGCTGACGGGACTTGTGCCAAAAAATTTCAGCTTCATTAGTACTCTCAAGTTGAACAATAATAGATTGAGTAAATGCATTTTGTAACAATAACTCTATGTTATCTTTCTTGGATATCAGTAACAATGACTTGAAAGGTCAAATTCCTGATGCAATTGGTAATCTCACTAACCTAGAAGTTCTACTCCTGAGAGGGAATCATTTTCACGGTCAAGTTCCCTTCCAATTGTGCAACTTATTGCATTTGAGTTTATTGGATCTTTCTTCCAATAACTTATATGGCCCTATTCCCAGTTGCCTATCTCAAATACCTGCTACGGGTGGCATCCATGAAAGCAATATTATTGGTGCTATTGGTATGGACTTTGGGTTAATAAATGAAGGCATAGTGGGTGACTTGATTGACGCGAAATTACGATCAGCTCACAATGCTTTTTACAACAAGGCAGAGTTTGTGACAAAGAACATGGCTTATAATTATGAAGGTAGAGTCCTTCATTACATGTCTGGTATAGATCTCTCTTGCAACAAATTAATAGGCCACATACCACATGAGCTTGGTAATTTGAGTAACATCCAGGCATTGAATTTATCACATAACAAATTATGGGGTGTCATTCCATCAGATTTTTCAAACTTGAAGAGCATCGAGAGTGTAGATTTATCCTACAATCGCTTGAATGGTAGAATTCCAGCTGAATTTTCAAATCTGAATACTCTTGAGGTCTTTAATGTCAGCTACAACAACCTATCAGGAAGGATCCCATTTGATGCTCAGTCATCAACCTTTGATGCCAGCAGTTACCAAGGCAATCCATTTCTTTGTGGACTTCCTTTACCCATCAACTGCACTTCAGGTGAATCGCCCTCCACAAGTAAAGGTGAATCCCAAGGTGAAGACAGTGACTGGATTGACATGAAAACTTTTTATATCACCTTCGCGGTATCTGGTATGACTATGTTTCTTGCGGTTGTGATAATTATGTTGATTAATTCTCATTGGTAGAATGCATGGTTTTATCTAGTTAAAACGTGCATCTTTTTCTGCTACTACTTCTTCGAGGACAGCATAAGGAAGCTAAGGAGAGCAAGGTGTGTTTGATGATCATGAGGTTCTTGATGTGAAGGTTTCTTGCCACTTGTGAATGTGATAATGTATGGTACCTTGCTTGTTGTATTCGATGATGTCTATGTATAATATATGTACTATGGATGCATGTCCTGCTTGTTCATCTCTTCTCCCTTTTAGCAATTATCTATGATAAGTTCAATAGATTTGTCTTGCAACAAATTTAGCAACATCCTTGGTTACATGTTTGAAATAGATTTGTCTTGCAACAGATTAACAGGCCACATACCACATGAGCTTTAGCAACATCCTTGGTTACATGTTTGAAATAGATTTGTCTTGCAACAAATTAACAGGCCACATACCACATGAGCTTCGCAATTTGAGCAACATCCATGCATTGAATTTATCTCATAACCAATTATTATGGGGTGTCATTCCATCAACTTTCTCAAGCTTGAAGAACATCAAGAATTTGGATTTATCCTACAATCACTTAAATGAAAGAATTCCAGCTGAAGTTACAAATTTGAATACTCTCGGGGTCTTTAACATCAGCTACAACCACCTGTGAGGGAAGATCCCATTTCAAGGTCAGTCATCCACCTTCGATGCCAGCAGTTACCAAGGCAATCCCTTCCTTTGTGGACTTCCTTCATCCAGATGATACGCCCTCCACGAGTACAAGTGAATCCCAAGGTGATTGGATTGGCATGGAAACCTTTTATATCACCTTCACGGTATCTGGTGTGACTATGTTTCTTGCGGTTGTGATAATTATGTTAATTAATCCTCATTGGTGGAATGCATGGTTTTATCTTGCTAAAGCATGCATCCTTTCCTACTAATACTTCGAGAGAATAGCAAGAAAGCTCACGAGAGCAAGGCGTGTTTAATGATCATGGGGTTCTTGATGTGAAGGTTTTGTCACTTATGAATGTGATGGCTTGTTGTATTCGATGACTATGTAAATAATAATTATAATACTATGGATGTCTCTTCCCCTTGTTGATCTATCTTCTCTTTCTCTCTTAGAGATTAGTTACGAAAAGTTGGTATTCATTCCTTAATCAAGTCACAAGAACTAAAAAGTCCATCTTGCTTAGAGGCTTGTCATTTTCAGAAGACTGATGCACTGTTCTTATACAATAACCCCAAATCAACAGATTGAGTGAGTCCATGATTGATGTAATCTATAATGACAATGATCTATTGACGACATTTGATGCAACACTCACTTGCCTATTCATATATTCCAACTTGGTTGCTGGTTCTCATAACCTCAATAGCCTTAAATTATAACCTTGAGTTCAACCTAATCAGGTTCTCAATTAAATGCTTACTTAGCTGTCCAAGAGGCATGCATTGACCATATAAGAATAAAAGATCATCCTAACAACAACCTATACGAATTTACCTACTTGCCTAAATAATCTTTCACAATTGATACTACTCATCACACACACACAATTAGCATAAAGCGGAAGAAAAGGTAAATCTCATTCTAGATAAAGTAGAAGCATATATCATATCTGAAGTTAATAACCGGTAGACTTTCAACAAAGTGTATGACCTTTAGACCTTTAGTTACAACTAGAAAGGCAGCATCCCTAGACCATGAGCTAAATGTTTTAAACCTATCCATAAACCTTTTCTAACCTGAAGAACATAAAATTATTATATGGAGTTCATTTCTCATATTTCAATTCTAGCTTATGAAGGAAATATATTCCTTTGAAGACCTCCATTATCCAGGAATTGCACAAAAGATCAATCAACCTCTATGGAAAAACTTAATGTATCCATGTCAAGCATCAGATTTGAGTCAAACACTTCAGGTGACTGCTAACATAGTCCTCAATCAACATTGGTGCACTGAAATGAGTAGTTTTTTCTTGCTAAAGCTGGTGTGATTCAAAACTTATGGCTTAGTGTATAAATTTGTTCCTCGATATTCATAACTTTCTCAAAGTTGATGACTCCGCGTCTCCTTCCCTTTCTATACTTAATGTTTTTCGGGCTAGATTCGCAAACCTATTGGTTATTGGAAGAGAAGAATAACTAAAATTTCAGCTGGAAAATCAATAAAAAAAATTATTCTTTAAGAACTTGCATGCAACATAATATTAGTATAGTATGAACTATTGGCATTTCTTATGTTGCATCAACTCAATTATTTCATGTTATTGCTTCCATTTTATATATCCTTCAGGGAGTGAGCAAATGTAATTAAGATACGTGCTTAAGGCACAGTTTAACATGCTCTTTAAACAACTTATAACCAATCAACCATAGTAACATTTAACTTTATTTTATTCAAATGTCTGATGAACTAGTACTTAAAAACACAGTTGATGGAAAGCTAGTAGGAAACTAGGAATAGCTAATAGCATACTTTGTATCATAACTTTTAGTTGCCTGGCTGCAATGTGTAACACTGCTTGCCATTGGTGCTTGAATACACATCCTTTTCTATTAAATAGATGAAGACAAATTAAGTAAACTCTATTCAAAATCCCTTAACTGAAATTAGACTTCACATGGCAACAAAACAGTTAGCTGTTGGCAGGGTTAACCTCACCACCACCTAATAGATACTTAGAAGAGACAGAGTAACAATCTTAGTCCCCAATTTCTCTCGCCTCTAAGTCAGAAACTTTCAGCTATGTGACAGGAAATGATTATTCAGACTCGTGAACTTTCACATGATAGCATGATTTTACCCTTCCCATACAAAAATTCAAGCAGAGTCACAATATAATCAGATTAATCACCATTTACATTCTAAACACCAGGTAAGTAATCACCTCAATAAATAATACTGTGATAATATATACCTAAAAGGGGCAAGAAAATGGGTCCTCAAGTGATAGTTTCACAAACTATACCACAAGTTTGGGTTTTAGTTTCATCAAGTCTTATTTAGGCGAGTATTCATAGAGGATTTAATGATTCTAACCACCTGCTACTCCCTTGGCTTCCTCTAGGTTCAAGCTCAATCCTCCACATACATGAGATGGCTAAGGGGCCTAATTTATCTTAGTCCCTTGCATTTTGAGGGTCAGTATTACTTTGTGGCATACCAAATTTTACCTGATAAAAATACATAATAATGCTTCATCAAATTCTAATTCTGCACCACAAAAAGTTATTTCATAATGTCCATATAAGAAAATCGAGTTCTTCGACAATCTCTAAAATCTTACTAAGGCCTTCTTCACTCCATCTTACAAAAATAATATTCAGTAAATATAAATTCAGTTTAGTAAAGTTAATTTCAATTTAGTAAAAATAATTTCAATTCAGCAAAAATAATTTTAATTCAGTAAAAATAATTTCACTTCAATAAAAATAAGGTAAAGTGAACAGGGCCTAAGAGGCTAAGATATAACACGGTCATCTAATGATCATAGCTGAATCTCAACTCTTGTAAACTCACACTTACCCCAAACTGACTCTGAAACAACCCTAAGAACAGCCCTGTTAGAATTAAAATCACTAAACCAGTATGGGATAGGAAAGCTAGGCCAATCACCAGCAAGCAGATACGTAGAGAAGGGTAAGCCGTAAGTGTAGTGAGAACATGTCATTGTAGTTGGATTGCCAGGAGATAAATTTCTATCTATAAATTGCTGCCCTTGTGTGCTTCAATTTGTTTACATAAAATAACTTTTGGGGATATTCATTACACATTTAACATCATTCAGCCTCGTGAACAGGATGAATGCTGTAATAACTAATAAGGTTGCTTAGAGTTAGCAGGACAAAAGAGCTAGAAGTGCAAAGTGTTTTTAAGTGAACGGGAATAAAACAGGATCAACACTTAATTTCGGTACCAGAATTATGATACTCATAAAATGAACTTTTACAGGTATAACATGTAACATTTTTCTTATTCAAACTTCAACAAGATTGACCAAAGATCAATGAAATCATCAACTCACGTTAAGGTACAAAGATACTAATCAATTTAAACAAATAATATTCCAATTCTACAAGGGCTAAACATATCATCATCTAGTTAAATTAAGTGTTTTTCACATAAGAAACATTCAATTATCTTGTCTTACCAGGCTAAGATGCAATGCCAGCAAATCCCTAATCCTCGCAGCACCTTCATCGACCTCCCTATCATAAACCGGCATATCCTGCTCTCGAACACAACCCGAATCATCATCACTTGATAGTTCTCCATGCTTCATCAAAAAATTATTCAGCACACAGGCAGTGATGACAATAAAAGGCAAGAATTCAACAAACTCCTCCTTCCACCTCCTATTTAGCAATTTCCAATTAGCTCTAACCCTCCCAAATGCCATCCTTACTAACTCAATTGCTCTCTTATGCACCTCATTGAACTCTTTTTCGCTCGAGCTCGAATCCTCTGCCTCACCCTTCTGTACAAAAGGAGTCAAAAGCCATGGCAAACAAGTATAACAAGAATCGCCCAATATATACTGAGGCATCAAATTCCCATCAATTAGCTCAACTTCAGGACCATTCAATAGCTCTTTAGATTCCTCCACACTCAAAAACAATCTTGTTTGTCGTAAAATCGAATCGGGATCGAATGTACTAGGCCAACCAGCAGAAACATCCAAGAATCTGCCATCACAATCAACCAAAGCTTGAACCATCAAAAACCCATCTTTCCCCAAAATATCACCTTCTATTGGGAATTTCTCAACCCCTAAAACCCCACAACAATTAATCAACGAAATCCGCTCAAAACCCACCAAAATTCTCCCTAATTCCGACCTAAATCCACCCAAATAACCCCCCAATTGATCACAAATCACCTTACAAACAGCATAAAAAACCCTACAAGCATCATTCGAGCTTAACCCGAATCGTTTACCCACAATCGAAAATGACCCATTATGCGCGAGCCTATAAATAGCAGCCCCAAGTGCAAAATCAGAAGAAATTGACAAAGTAAGAACAGATGAAATCGAGTCAGAAAGCATGGAATTGAGGCGATAAAAAGTGGGTTTTGACATACGGAAGAAATCAACCCACCTTGGATCGTCATCACAGGTGGAAGAAAGGAGTAAACGCTGAAACCAACAGCAGGAAGAGAGAGAAAGAGGGAGCTGTAAATGGGGTTGGAGTTTAGAGAGAGAAAGGAAGGCAGAAGAGAGAGAAGATTGAAGAGAGAGAGATTGAGAAGGAAGAAGATGAAGATCGTTGTCATGGAGGAAAGAGTGAGAGGAAGAAAGAGCGGTTGTAATGGCGGAGATTAGAGGAGAAAGGGTGGTGATGGTGGTGGTGGTTGGAGTTTTGCGTTTGGTGGTGCGGCGTTTAGTGGAAGGAGGTTTGGGAGAAGCAGCCATGGTTTTTTGTGGTCAAATTTGGTATGAGATTGTTTCATTTTTAGAAAGGTTTCCAAAAATAATGTTGAATCTTAATTGAGTTCTAAATTTGTTCTAATTGGTCACAGTTCAAACTCTATTAGAAGTATTTTTAATTATTTTCCGGAAAAATTAGTCATGTCCTAGAATTTTTTTCAGTTTGGTTTTGTGTCACAATAACTGGTTGGTAACATTAATGAGAGAAATATGTAAAAAAAAAAAAATATTTAGGGTATAAATTTGTGAACTGTTAAACATCACCCGCAAATTCCTACATAAAGCCCACAAAATAAGAGTGAAATGACACTTTTGCCCTCAAACTAAAAAACACAATTTCTCTCTCTACTCTCTACTTCCACTTTCTCTCTCTAAATTATTTCCCGAGCTATGTCGAGGCGGCCCGGCAAGGAAGTGGCGGCTCCGGCGGTGGGCGGAAGGCGGTTTGCCGGCGAGAAGGTAATTTTTGTAATTTTTTTTAAAAAAAAAAAACCTCCGGCGACGGTGGGGCGCCAAGGCGAGACGCCACCACCACGGAGGAGGCGCCTAGGCAGGACGCTCGTACGGTGGAGGCGGCGCCTAGCCCAGACGCCACTACCACGGCGGAGGCGGATAGGCTAGGCGCCACGGCCGTGGTGGTGGCGTCTGGGATAGGCGCCGCCACCACCGTACGGGCGTCTTGCCTAGGCGCCTCCTTCTCTTTCTTTTTTTTTTTAATTTTTTTTTGTTTTTTTTTAATTTTAAATTTTATTTTCGAAATTTTTTTTTTTTTTTTAAAATTTGTTTTTCTTTTTTTTAAATTGTATGTTCCCTTTTTTTTTTTAAATTTTGTTTTTTTATTTGTTTTAATTTTATGTTCTATTTTTTTTAAAAAAAAAAAATTGTTTCTGGTTTTAATTTTTAATTTTATGTTCCTATGTATTGTTTTTTTTTTTTGAATTATATTTTTGTATGTAAAAAAATTATAAGTTCCCTTTTTTTTTTATAAATTTTCTTTAAAATTTTGATGTTCTTCTTTTTTTAAGTTTTTGCAATTTTAAATTTTTTAAGTTTTGTTAGTTTTTTGTTTTTGGTTTTTCTTTGCATTTTTGATTTTTTGTTTTTGTTTATGTTTTTCATTTTTTAGTTTGTTGTTTATATTTTTTGTTTTTGGTTATATATTTTGTTTTTGGTATATTGTTTTGTTCATATTTATATTTTTTTATGTTCATATTTATATTTTTTTATGTTTATATTTATATTTTTTATGTTTTTATTTATATTGTGTTGTTTATGTTTTTATTTTTTATGTTTATAATTTTATTTCCGTTACTTGTTTATTTGCTTTTGTGTTTATTTTCGTCCTTTTTTGTATTTATATTTTTTGTTTTTGGTAATATTTTTTGTTTTTGTTTATGTTTGTTTTTTTTTTGTTTGTAGTTTATATTTTTTGTTTTTGGTTATATTTTTTGTTTTTGGTATATGTTTATGTTTATGTTTATATTTCTTATGTTTATATGTATATTGTCTTGTTTATATTTATATTTTTTATGTTTATAATTTTATTTCCGTAACTTGTTTATTTGCTTTTGTGTTTATATTCGACTTTTTTTAATTTGTTTTCGTTATTATGTTTCGTTATTTACTTGGAGTTAGGCATCGCATGGACCTGGTGTGGGGAAGAGTATTGACGTCGTGAGGAGTACGATCTACTCAATGGAGAGCTCGGGGCCCAGACACGTTAGATCCCGTGGTATTTCGGCCTCGGCCCGCAGAGAACGGGTGCACTGTTCTGCGGATGATCAAGATGATGATGATACGTCGTGGATGCGGTACGTCTCATAAAACATTTGTAGTTGTGTTTTTTTTCATATAATACGTCGTTATTGAATTTTATGTGTTTTGTTATGTGTAGTGGATGGGAAAGATGACGCAGTTGGGACACAGACTTTTTGAGGAGAGGGACAACATGACGACTGCAACAGGCAGAGCTGTTATTGATGAACTGGAACGGGCCCTTGAGCAGTGGCAGTGGGCGTCACAGAGAGATTATTGATATGTCGGCAGTGCATTTATATAACATTTTCCTAGTTGTTTGTAAAAGTTAACATTATCTATTCTTATAATTATTATTTTAAGTTCTTAGAATTTGACATTATATTTTTAGTTTTTATAATTTTTATTTTAAGTTGTAATTAGTGGGCATACGAAAATTAAATACAAGTTCACATTTAAATGGGAAAACTAAATACGAAAATTAGAATCCGAAAATTAAATAAATGGGAAAAACATAGCAATAACAATAGAAGGTCACATAGAAAAGGCAACTAGATTGTTCCACTGCTGCACCCGGTCATGATATAGCGCATCCCAGCCCTCTACGCTTGCTGTACGAATGGTGTACCACGTTGGTATGATCGGTGGGACCGGAAAATCGGGTGACAGGTCCAGTCGGATGAAATGTCTGTATGACGGCCCCAGAAATCCAATAGCAACCTCTCTTACCGGTCTGGTGACGGTCTCACGCGAACACCAAGGCAGAACCGTGGTACATGGATAGTAAGCTCCACCATGCAAACCAAGGCCGAAATGCATCACTGCACACTTGTAGATGTTTGCAACGGCGAAGAGATCAAGTGGCGCGTCGAACCAATGATTTTGACCGCAACGTCCTCCTCCCCACCGGATACGCTGCAGAGACCTATCCAAGTCCTGTCCGTACACGTGGCGATAAACAGCTCGGTTTGAGGCGATTTCACTGTACATCAACTGACGCACTAAACCGTAGTTGTCTTCACCCATCTGAAACACATCAGCCACAACCCGAAATCCGCAGTTACCATCTGCAACCACATCATTCCACCCGTCCAGGAACGGCATCATGATGTTAGGGATCCTGTCTTTATATGGAAAATGTTCAATGTCCATTCTACCTGTTGCACACATCAAAAAACACAATTAACAAGTCAGCAGAAAACTAAACAAACACTCTAAAAAGTAAATTAAACTAAAGTACCGTACCGGTGCCGGGCATATTCACCGACGAAGAAGTTTGACTACAACTTGATGACGATGTACGACCACGGCCACGACCACGACCACGACCACGAATGTACTCAAACGCACTCCTTTCCCGCCGTGGTTGTCGGCCCCGTGGTCGCTCGACCCCCTCAGGTTCCTCATGATCCGAGCACGACGAGTTGAACATGTCATGAAGTACGTGGGTAACACTACGAATGATTGAAGCGTGGCTGGAGGACACTTGGTCAAACATCGAACGAAACTGCTCCAACTCCTCCTGTTCACGGTTGACTGTCTGTGGAACAACATGCTCTCCGATAACGAGCGTCCGCCAGAATGGATGAACCTGATCAACATGTAACGACGCCCTATCTTGCGTAATTACGCGGTGAATGGTGCATGCACAAGGTAGTCCATGAGTCACCGATATAGCACATCCGCACCGAATAGCCACTTCATCACCCAACTCCCTCATCCTGGTGTGCTCGCTCAGAATCAACCCCAAGCAGTAGTGTGACACACGACCATGGAGAATCTTAAATATGAAATGGCTATACATCGTGCCATGTCGCCGTCTGGAGTCCTCGAGAGAGTTCTTGATGCCGTTCCTCTGAGTATCAATAGCCTTGTTTATTCTCTCGAACAGTGTATCCAGAGCAGAGGTGGAAGAATCAATCCAGTCCTTCAGAGCTCTATGAGCGCTCTCAACTCTACATGTAGTAGTGTTTCCAAAATGAAGAACTTGGTTTGTCCAATATTTGACAAACTTTTCCCTCTGAGGCACCCACTGCTGCATCACATAGTCTACGATTGTCGGGCACCATTGGTATGCATCCTTGAAGTTATCCAAGGCTCGGTCGTACTCTGCCTCCGTGGTAGCTTGCAGGATCTTCCGCCACTTACCATTTACCAATCTCTCTGCTGAATCTAAGTTCTTGTTGAAAAGGTTATAGGCTTTGACTTTCACGCAGTTGTTGATGTGCCATGTGCACAGTAAATGGCTCGACTCCGGAAATAGCTCCGCTATAGGGGCAAAGAGACCTCCCTCACAATCGCTGACGATGGCCGATGGCTGAACACTTGGGCCGATGTAATTTCTCAACTTCTCCAACACCCAACGGTAACTCGCAACCGTCTCATCCTTCATAACTGCATAACCAATCAAAAAGTTCTGGTTCGTTGGAGTCATCCCAACCATCTCAACCAGTGGAAACTTATACTTGTTTGTCTTGTACGTTGAATCGATCAGAATCACAGATGGCCAAGACGAAATCATATCAGCACAATCAGGATGCACAAGGAACAAATGAGTCACCTCCGATGTGTCTTCATCAGATTCAAACCAGTACAGGTAACCACGTGCTTGTGCCTGGTGTAGAAGCTGCTGTATAGGGTTCCTTCCCTCTGACCGTTCAAACCTCAATTTCTGTCTGACGTTGTAGATGTGTCTTCGGTTTGGCTGGTCTTCGGGGAATTTCTCTAACACAGACGCTAATATTTTAGCGGGCTTCACTTGAGCATCACTCATTTCTTTTACAACTAGTTTCGCAGCTGGACTTAGGCCGCTTAACTGCCGATGCCCCACTTTGTATGCTATCAGCTCATGGTTGTGATATCCCCATTTGCCGTAACCCTTCACTTCCCAACCGTCACGCCTATGATGTTGTCGAACCTTAACTCGGAACTGACACCCACAACCTTTCCGCTTTGAGTCAAACCGAATCGCTTTACTGAAATCTCGTTCTTCTCTTTTGCGATAACGGTCGCATCTCAAAATGCGATCCATTCTACCATCCCGTTGAGATTTATGAGTTGCTACTACTAAACAAAAGCCTGATCTAATTGCAACCTGTTTTGCCCAATCAATCGCTTGTTGAGCATCTTCGAACAGGCCATCATGTACAAAAATCCCGCTGTAATCATTTCCGTCTCCACCATAATCCTGTAACAATAACATATAACATATAAATATAATTACATTAAGATTAAATTAATGCACTTAACACAAAATTATCACAAACGCAATTTCTAAATTTTAATTTCTAAATATCATTTTTATATTTAACGCATAATACATTTAAAAAACAAAATAATAACACACATTTCATTTCAAATTTATCAAACATAAAAAAACAAACAAAACAAAATCATGCATAAAAAAACCAT